ATATATATGAAGAGAGAGAGAGACGAAAGGCAAGCCCGCTGCGTTGGAGTTTGTGGGACGGATTTGCGTGAGAACTTTACATCCACACCGACCTTACGTGACTCACTCTCCCGCACGGGATGACTATTTTTTTTATTTCTTCTTTTTCTTCTTCTTCTTATTTATTCATTGTATTTATTTATTGGGACTTTAATTTTTCTGTATCGGCATAGTAAGGATATTGATGGTGATGATAATGATATTGATTATAACGATCATGATAACAATGATGATCATATTAAAGATAAAGTTGATGATGCGGATGATGATAACAACTACAGCAGACATTGATAATGAGGATAACAATGATAACGATGATGATGACACAAATAATGATGATAGTGGCGTTAACAATCATAGATAATAAAGTGATCGTAGTGGTAATAATGAAAACAATTGTGATTGTAATATCGATAACAATGATAGTACGATTAATGATTGTGATTAAAGCATTGATAATGATAATAATCAAGACGCTGTTAATAACAAAAATAAAAAAGAATAGTATCAAAAACCACAGAGATGATAACAAAAATAAAAATATAAAACAAAAAAACGGTTTCCTGACAGTATGACGACCTTAAAAGGATGGCGAAGTAGTGTCCCCGTAATGGGATTGTTTGGCACTTGGCACTGAGTGACATAAACACGGCATTTTACTCTCTGCCGTTCTTGTAAGGAGGGAAAGGGGGGGGGAGAGGGGGTAGATGTCTCCCTTCACCTTCCCCTCCTGCCCCCCCCTCCCCCCCCCCCGCCCCCCTTTCCACTTCCGCCAGGAGCAGTGACGCAGTGACGTCAGCTAATGAAATGACGCAGTGGGAAAAGTGCGCAAAGTCATCACGCAGAGATATGTAATTGTGACGCAAACCGTGATGTAATGCGCTGCTGTGTGCGGGTGCTAAATTCGTGGTTCTTTTTCTTTTTTATAAATATATATTTATGTGGTTTCATTTATGACTATGGTTTTATCTTTGTACTTTATTTTCAACGAGAGATTCGAATCATTACTCTCGCACCGACACACGCTCATAGATACACACATTCACACATGTACACACACACACAAACGAGCAAAGCCAGCTAAATGGCATTTTCTTTCCTTCCGGGCCCACACTTTCTCTTATAGCCTCGAGTGCCTAATTCAAAAGATTAACTGGGGACTACGGAGCAATAAAGCGAGCTGATGAAGTTTTTAAATGGATTGCAGACAGGGTTGGGAGTGTGACACATACACACACACACACACTCACATACAAACATTAACACACACACACACACACAAAACAAACACACATACACGCACACGCAAGCGATACCATCAGGCACAAACATACGCACATGTTCTTATCTATTTGGCTATTCATCTACCTGCGAACATTTTCTTCTGTAAATTCGTAAATATGAAAAATAAACGAAACGTCGAAAATTTATGGTCATAATTTCCCGGTCTGTTACGTCTTCATAGCACCACAGAGAGCAAGCGACAGAGAGAGCGAATAAGAGGGAGAGAGAAGAGAGAGAGAGAGAGAGAGAGAGAGAGAGAGAGAGAGAGAGAGAGAGAGAGAGAGAGAGAGAGAGGAGAGAGAGAGAGAGAGAGAGAGAGAGAGAGAGAGAGAGAGAGAGAGAGAGAGAGAGAGAGAGAGGAGAGAGAGAGAGAGAGAAGGGAGGAGAGAAAGAGAGAGTAGGGGAGAAAGAGAGAGGGGTGAGAGAAAGAGTGAGAGAGCGAGCGAGCGAGAAAGAGAGAGAGAGGAGGAGGAGAAAGAGAGAGAGAGTTTTTTTTTTTTTTTTTACACTCGCCCCCTGTGGATTACATGTTTGACGAATTTTGGTTCTATTTTCAAAAAAGGAATAAAGGTCCTAAGATTTTAGCGAACTGATAGACAAGGGCATAAAAACTACCTTTACGTATGTGTGTGTGTGTGTGTGTGTGTGTGTGTGGTGTGTGTGTGTGTGTGTGTGTGTGTGTGTGTTGTGTGTGTGTGTGTGTGTGTGTGTGTGTGTGTGTGTGTGTGTGTGTGTGATCATCTCCATTACTAAGTCCAACACCCATTCACCTCGACGCCCATAACGGCAAGGTACCCGCCCTCGGACAAAGCAAAAGCCGCCCATAGCATTTATGTAAAAAGAAAATAAATAAAACGTACCTCAAAACTTCCCGACAATTTACATTTCAGGGGAGACTATGACATCAGCCCGCTCCCTCCTCCCTCACACACCGCGTCGGACAATTTCCCCCCGAAACGAAACGCCATAAAATACGTCTCCGTGACACCGATCAACAGGTCTCCCTTGCCTCGGATTCCCGCTGTTGCAAAGGCATAGAGAGGCATTGATTTTGCGGCGAGTGAAATTATTCCGCGCGCTGCAATTATGAGCTGTCACGCGCAAAGACCGGGGGGGGGAGGGGGCGGAGAAAGATAAATAACGTTGCATTATGTATTTGTATTATTTGTAGTTAAAG